TCATCTACCCAATCTTTTGTTCGGGTTTGAGCGACAACTTGTTGTGTTCTACTCGAAGGCAGAGCGGTTTTATTGATGTCAGTATCAATGTTCGAATCATCATCCATTAACTCTGTTTCGACTAATTTAGCCTCATTGAGCTTTCGTTTGTTCTCCTCAACAAATGTCTCAAGAGCCAATTCGTTTTCTTTTTCTTTTAGGCGGATACCTGTTTCATTTTGTCGCTGGATTTCAAGACGTCGCAATTTTGCTATTTCGAGTTCGCGTTTGCGCTGACTGGAAGTCATCGAAGACGCTCTAGAGTGCAGGGAACTATATCGGGTGGACCGGCTGACAGTTGAAGCAGCTCGCGATGCTTGCGGGTCAGCATCTCCAGTCTCTGGAAACAAAGTTTTCGCCATTTCCAAGTGCTTAATTGACAATTCCAGCATTTCATCTCGAGCGCAAGTAATGCTGATCAACCAAGTCTCAAGATCAGCGAGAGCACTGCTAGGTTCTAGCGTTTTTTGAGCAAGAATGCGAAGTTCGTCGTTTTTCCTTATTGCGTTTTCTATTGCTATTTGGCACTGCTGGATAGACCTTTCAAATTTGACTGTCCCTACCTTTGCTAAGAGTGAAACTTTCAGCTCTGAATAGAGCCTATTAAATTCCTCCTCATATTTCCTACGTCCGTCAAAACACCTAGACAGCTTCTGAGCTTGCTTATCTGTCATGACTTAGCTTTAAATGAAGGAAAAGCGGGCGGTTGTGAACTATCGAAAAAAGGGGATTAAAAAGTCAAGTGTGATGTCACTCTTCACATCTGCTCAGAAAAAAACTGGAGTTGCAACAAAGATCGTCACACTTTACTTTAGAAAGGGGGGTGGGGAAGTTCACCTTTACAATTTAGAGCGAGCGGAAATTATAAAAAAAGGAAAACAGTAATTTAGAATTAAATTACAAATTGAAATACATTGACACTACAAAAAAAATCAAAGGTTCTTTGCTGCAGATTCGACAGCTAGCCGGCGGTTGCGTTCGGCACGACGCTTTTTTTGAGAGGATCACTTTTTTTGTTCTTTATTTTTCTTAAGTTTACCGTATTACTTCGGACTATCGAGAAAGAGTTTAGTTCAAGGTCAGTTTCTTGGTGAAATTGGAAGTAATGACGGAGTAAGCGAGTGTCTTTCTGCTTACGCTTAGAGATTAAGTCTAGACTTCTTAAAGATTAAGACTTCTTAAAATTAAAATGCCCGTTGAGCAAAGCAAATCGTAGATATTAGGAGTTTGGACTCGTTGACAATATACAATTGCAGCAATATTACTTTTGTAATAAAGCAGAATGTTTCGCAGTTCGAATTACGTGAGTGCTGTATCGTTGTTTCTATTGTGCTTGCTGATTGAATTGTTGATCAGGTCGTGCCAGATTATTATATCAATTCTATGGGCTAATTCGAGGTCTAAAAAAGTTTGGGCGCGTTTTGATTGGTACTTGCAGTTCAGACTTAAACCACCAAGGGCATCAGTATTGCGATATACGGTTTTGCTCGGCCATACGTAGCGTTTTATGAGCATGAGAGAGCGAGCTAGCGGCTAATATATACATTTACGACGGCATTCGACAGGATAAAAACAATCTGGAGGGAATCAAGTCAACCGGATTTTGAGAATCTCACACCTGCTCAGAAACAACCGGAGTTGAAAAACTCAAAGGGATTGACTTGATATAGTGCTAAGGGTCTGTACACTGCGTAGTTTTGCAGTGCTTACGTTTGCCGGGTTGTTTTTTTTTCGCAAAAAAAATGACAAAATTTTTTTTTCTTCTTATCGTCTACGTCAGTTTGGTTCCGAAATTAGACGATTTGGGGTCGATTTCGAATTTTCAATTTTTTGCGAAAATTTTCTCAAAAATTTTCACAAAATTTTTTTCTAACGGGTCGGAACGGTGGGTTCGGGTTTGAGTTATCGACTACTAACTATAAACTAGCAAATGAAACCAAAATTTTAACTTTTAGTCAAATTTTTTCGATTTTCGATTTTGGATTTCAGATTTTCTGGGTGGGGTATTCGGATTAGACTATTGGCAAAAGCATGGTAAACATAATGAAATCAATATTTTAGCACACTGAATGGATTTGATGGGTCACAATAAAAAACTTTAAAGGATCGTAAAACAATTATAGCTCTGGTTTATGAAGAAACTAAACTGAAAAGTTACGTCCTACATTAGTTTTTTGTCAACTTCGGCCATCAAAAACGGTTGGGGAGACTCCTGTCTCACTTGCAGGTAGCTGTCTGCATACACCTTCGTGAAATTGCACAATCACCTTTCACTGAGGTACTTCTCACTCACAAAAAACTGAGTCGTCAAGGGTTTCGTCTGGTTTGACGTCGATTGTCGTCGGACCATGTTTCCACCAGTGTTCGGTCTGTGGTGGGTCGGTCGAGTATATCGTCGGTCTGTAGATTGGCTGTATGCATCTCGATTGAGAACACGATTGTTCAATTTATATATATTTTTCAATAATTATCGAAAATCATTAAGAGGAAACAACGGAATAATATCTGTTTCGGAACAAAATTATCAAGTTTTAAACGAAATCGAACTCGAAAGCGACTTTATTGTCACTACTTTTGCCAATAAGTGGGGATTTTCACGCTTGCCAGAAGTTAGAAGTCAATTCTGGCCAAAGTCTAATTAAGTTCATGTCCAGAACAAAATTTGACTTAGGAACATTTTTTATCCGGTTCAAATCAAGTGTATTCCAAGTTTTTTAGTAGTAAAATACTTGGAATGACCGGGATTCAAACCGGCGACCTTTCGGTTTCAGGTCAAGTACGTTACCGCTAGACTAGCTGGTCTTGATATGCTTTCATTTTAGTTTCAATCTTGAACAGGCCTTACTTTTATTCTTTTTTTGACTAACCAATGTTATGTTTCAGTGCGCACTGTACAGCTTGCAGTGTGCTAAACGACATGACTACCACATTCACTGCCGATTCACTGCAGAAAAAAGATCGACGTGACACGAAGCACGAAATCATTGCATTTGTGGAAGAAGACTCTGTGGGCACCACAAAGCACTTCAAATCCGAAGTCTGGAAGACATTTAAACTTGTGAAAGTTGTCGCCTCTGGATTCAATATTCCGAGCGGGCTTTGCGCATTTCCGGTACAGAAGAGATAGAACTATACAAGTCTCTCTCAATTGCAGTTGCAGATTGTGATGTTCTTCAATTTTGGAGAAAGAACCCTGACAAGCTTCCACTGTTGTCCAGAGTTGCGCGAAAGGTGCTTGGAATGCAGGCCAGTTCCGGGCAGTCGGAGAGGCTTTAGTCTGATTGCGGTCTAACGGTATACAAAAGACGGGCAAAACTTTCCCCTACAACCGTTGAGGCAATTGAAATGGTTTCCATGGCTTTTAAAAAAGGTCTTTATAAATAAGTAAAACAATTAATTAAAATTGTTTTGAAACAAATTTGTTTTTTTTACCAAAAAAGCAGCAACGGGCCGATATTTAATAAATTCCCTGTTTATCGGGCCGCCAACGGGCTCGACTTGAATTATATCGGGCCGGGCCGGGCCTCAATTCTGGCGGCCCGTTAACAAGTCTACCTTCTTTGGTCAAATTTTTTATCATCAAATTTCATTGAGAAAAAACTAACGAAACAAGAATGCAAGCTGATAATACTGTAATGCAAGCAGGTAGTAGTTGCGGTAGTATAAAAAAGTTAACTTTCAAAAAGCAGTAACAAAGAGCTAGATGTTTTTTTAAAGAAACCAGAAAACAATTTCAAATGTGAAGAAAACGTCTGAAACTTTAACCATCTAAGCACCAATTGAAGACGAAAAATGGCTATTCTCATAATTTATGGAATGAATACGGAAAACTTTTACTGAAACAGAATCCTAGAATTTACCCTTCGCAGAACGCTGTAAGTACTTAACCAAAAGCTAAGTTGGCATAAGAGTTTAATCTGTAGCCTGACGGTTATCGTCGCGAAAAAGTGAGTTTAGCATTACTTACATAAACTTTTGGTTTGTTAAGTATGGTAACCGCGAACAATCAAACTTGAGCATGAACAATTTAAATGATTTTTACCTTAAGAAACGCAAAAAAATTCGTCACGATTTTCAAAAACTTGGGTCTTTAACGCAGCGATCTAAACCACGACCTGAATAAGTGTTCTCACTTCGCTCACTGATAGCAAACAGCTGTAATTTCAGTGATCTCAAAGAAATTGAATTGTTTAAATCACCGAATTGTCTTGCAAAAACGCTTGAATTTTCGACTTATGTAATTAACTTTAATGGTTTTCAGAAACTTCGATGAAATCAATCCAACTGGTGAACACTGGTTCAATTGATAATTTTTTATATTGTGCTGCTAACTCTCAACATCAAAGTCTATTCTGTCATTTGATCCCTGATATTCGAGAGCGTTATAAGACTTCCACTTAGCAAAACAAATTGTATTGAAAACAGAAATTAAAAAAAAATCGAACTTATTCCCTAGAAAAAAAACGAACCAACTTAGCCAACAGACCGTTGGAAAAAATCAAACATCAATCCACTTTCGAAATTAGAAGTTGATGACGTTTTTCGTGACCTTTAAACTTTCGCTGACCGACAGCGGAGTTTGCCTTCCTTTTAACAAAGGAAATGAACTGAACTTAAAAACAAATCAAAAGTAAAAAAACGTCATTTTAAAGTGAAATTCACATCGATCCTTATCTTAAGACACTATATAAATAAGTACATGAATTTCAATGCTTGATACTTAGAAATTGAGGATCATTAAAATTTAGGCTCTTTTCCAGTCCCCCCCCCCCCCCCCTTTGATTTTTTCTGAAATCCAAAATTTAGTTTCACCGAAAAGAATGACTTGAGTTAGCTTTACATTTCAAACGGTGGTCGTGTAATATGGCACTTCCTCAAGCGATGGCCATTCATAACCAATCACTTGAAATATAGAATTTACAACCTGAAATGCTGCTTGCTTTGAAAAAAGTCTCCGAAAACTTCAATTCACAAAACGAACTATCTAAACTGTAGAGAAAAACAAAAATATCAAATTAATCTCTCGTGTATAAACTCTCCAAGTGATCATGATAAATTTTTTACTAATAGATAATTCGGCTTTTATTACTCTCAACACAAAGTTTTATAATCACGAAACAGAATGTCATTTTCCTTGAAGATTATTTATGATATAACTAATTAACTAACTTACAAGAATTTCTACTAATTCAAGGTTGTCATTATTTCGTTGTCGTTACAACACACATTCGAATCATGGATCTGAGATGTAAAATCCGCGAAGAATAATCTAGAAGATTTTATCATGTTCGCGATTTCAGTATAATTATCAATAATCAAAGAAAAACAATGAAATAGTTCTTAACAATGGCTGTTAAATAAATTACAAATCCGAATCTAATCGGACGCATTTTTAAATTGAAGTGTGCTTACGAAAAGACTTGAACGATACAAAAATAGCATAGATAGAATTTTCCAAAATTTAGCGTGAACTCAGTTGAACTTTTGATTTAGTGGATGTGAACTAGCGTATGAAAGAAGGCAATTATCAAAGAAATGATAGTGTGTGATTTATTTAGGGCGTTGGGGTCCTTACTTCTATGCACGACATGAACATCTTTCACGGTAAGTTTTGATATCAAAGAGTCTTTCAGGCTAAATAATCGATCAAGGAGTCTTTTAGGCTAAATAATCGATGTGGTCGTTGGCGACAAGTTCGTTTGTCGTTGGGAAAACGTTTGGCTCCTCGTCATGCTGTTTCTTTGCAGCGAACTTCTGTTTATCGTGCTGGTAGCCGAAGCGTCCATTGGCACTGTAGTTGCCATAGATCCGGACCTCGGAACCATATTATGGCCCCCATAAATTTGGAAGCGGTTCATTCGCGGATCAACTCCTCTCGATAAACTTCCAAAATTGGAATTTGGTTTCTCCAAGTAGAAGTTATTTGAGATGGATCCGGAGCTTCGATGCAGGTTCCTGTTTGGCAACGTCGAGCAGTTGGCGTTCGCATTAACCTGGCTTTCAGATCCCATAAAAGAGCTGTCGCTTCTCTGCGTCTGGAACACAATACTTGGGTGGTTTAAGGCACCGTTGGACTGCGGGGTTGTCGGGATGATTTCGGGGTTCTTTTTAGACTTGCACTGGACAATCGCTGTTCCGAAGAAAAACTTCTGACCCCCTGAGCTGGAAGGCGTTTCAAACATCACCGTCATCGGTGCCTTGTTTTTGTCTCTGAATGGCTGGTAGCAGAGAGTCTTAGCGCAGTACAATTGCCGACCAAGCATCTGGATATTTCTCAAATTATTCTTTTTCTGGGTATTTTTACTCGGAAGACTCAAGTACCTTGTTTTCAAGTCCGCCTTTTTACTGTCGAACTGGTCAGGCAAAGGGTCAATTTGGGACTTGAAGTGGAAATCAATCTGAACAGTCGGACATGATGACTCCTTTTCGCTATTTTGGGCCAGATTCTGGTTGTCATCTCCAATCAAAACAGTGTAGCATTTTATAAACAGAAGAATCATAGAAGCCGCACAGGCGAAAAAATAAATTATAAAGGATATTACAGCAGGTATCGGAAGTCTCGTTTCTGATTGGACTTGGTAAATAATTCCAGAAGCTAGATCCGTTCTTTTAACGCCATTCACTTCGGCCGGATTGTGAATGCCAAAGTAGTACTGTTTTTTCTTCACGCCAGTGACCGAATTTCGGTTATTTTCATTCACTGGTAGTAGAACTTCAAACCTTCCCGTAATATTCTCAGCTATCAGGATAGTCTTATTTGGTCTCAAATTAACATACATTGCTTTTTTCTCTGCATTAAACTGTGCGTTCATGACATACATACTTTGTCGCTTCGTTAGACTCTCGAGTAGTTTTTGGTTATTATTTAGTTCTACTGTGTCATTGGTGCCTTCCACTAACTGCGCCGTAAATTCGGGCTTATTGTTGGCCAATCTTCTTTGTCGTTTGGCGTAGTGGACAATTTCAGATGAACTTGACGCCGGTGGGATCCTAGTAGCTGTAACTTGACCTGGCGATGGTGTAGTTCTCGGTCTTCGCTTTCGCGGCGGTATCAGATAACCATTGGCATCGTAGAGCATGATAGGCGACAATTCATTCGACTGGTCCTTTTTAACCATTCTGTAGTCATCTGATACGTACAAATCCACAGATCCCTGACTGATCTCGAGTACCACGCGGTGCATTTGACGTCCCGTTTTCACTTCCGGGTCGACGAAGAAAAAAGTGGCTTCACCCACTTTCAGACCAATTGTTTGATCTACAACGTTGTCATAAATAATGTGCGTCGTTGTGAGCATGAACGTATTTGTCCAGCATTTGAGCTCTCTGTAGCATTGCCTTCCATTTGCAGGTTCACCCTTGTACTTGAAAGCAATCTCCACCATAGGTTTTTCGCAAATGGAGCACTATAATAAAATCAATATTAACGCAGAAAACGCAATACAGAAAACGCAATAAGTTACGCGAATCAATTATCCTAATTGGCTGAGTGAGCAGTTTGCACAACCATAATTTTTTCTAAAATTGGAATAATTGAGACTTAAGGATTCAAACCACCTCTAGATGGACCTATAGCATACAACACGTGAGCACAGTGTTAAGACATTCACTTCGCGATTGTCAGATCGTATAACTGATCCCCTGCCATGGCAATGATAGTGTATGAGGACCCACATGCTGATGTCTACTGCAGCCTGACCGACTTCGGCTGCATTAGTGGTACCAAGTGAAAATTCTAGACGCAAAAAAGCGACCTTGAGTCCCTAAAAAGAGCATCGCTCAACAAAGAACTGTGTGGAATGTGGGGAAATAAGAGAAACGGACTACGCTTAGACAGGGTGCCAAAACCTTTCATAGATTTATGAATATTATGACTCAATGACCTTCTCAACTGTACCATGTCGACTTGCTGTCTTGGCTATTTATAGCTTACTAATAGTATACACCAGTTAGCAATGAATTCTCTCAAACAAAGTTATGTTGGAGAATTCGCTCAGTTATGTTGGAGAAACTTGTAGTATAACAGAGGGTTTGCTTGTATAAAAGATCTGATAAAATAAAGTCTATCGAATCACTGAATAGAATTTGATCCTGAAAATGAATTGATCTAAACATTGATCCTGAAAATGAATTGAGAAAGTTTCAACTTTTAAAAATATTGCCAATCGAAGATTGGAAAAGAGTAGTGAACGCAAGTAAACATAAAAAAAAACAGACATTCTTGAAAAAATCAAAACTTTAGAATTTTGAAGAAAAAAAATGATGCCTTTTAAGCTCTTTCAATTTCTAGATTAATTTATGATTGGTGCTTTTTGATAACATGAACCCAACTTGAGAAAACTGGATCAATAGATAGTTTTTTTCTGCTGGGAATTCTTGAAAACAAATCGTTCACGTTTTTCTCGAAACTAGAAATCGTTCACGTTTTTTTTTCACGCCATTTCCACGGTCGTATTTGGAGAGTGCTATTTACGTCACTTTCAGAAGACGAATTTAAATTGCACTCAAAAAGTGCATTATATCCAAGTGCATCAATAATTTAAGACTTTTTCCTGAAAAAAAAACAAAAAAAATCAGCAAGTCCTAAACATAAAAAACGCTAACTTTCTTGAAAAAATTTCGCAAATTTCGAAACACAAACTTTCGAATTAGAAAGAAAAAACCAGATGGCCTTACAGTTCTTTTTATTTGTAGAACAATTTATGATTAGCACTTTTTTTGATATAATTAACTCAGTTTTAGAAAATTGTATCAATAGATAATGTTTTTATTCTGCTGCAAAATCTGAAAATTAAATTCCACTTTCGAAACTAAAAGTCACTCCTGTTTTTCGCGACCTTTACACTTTTGTGTTCGATAGTGGACTTTGCTGAACTTCCTAAGTCAAACCGCAAAAAAAATTGACCGTGGACAAGTTTTAACTTTTCCCCAAAAAAATTCAAACGAAAAATCATCAAGATCTATTTCAGAGTATTCACTACGTGCATGACTCTTAAAAAGCGTTTAATAATATTGGCGAATACAATCTGGCAATAAATTTTGACGCAGTACAGTCTAATATATTGTGTTTCGCCATGGACAGCACTGGAGCTACATCTCTAAGTTTAAAATGATAAATTCGAATTCTGCGAATAGCAGAGGCGCTATAAACTGCTATCAAGCTTGTGTTGGTCCGTTTTCTATAATTTCCTCACATTCCAGAAGTATATTTAGTTCAGCGAAACAGTTTTTATGCCACACAAGGCTGTTTTTTGTCTAATAGAACTTTTACGTGGTACCACTATTGCAGCCGTAATTGGCCAGAATGGGGTAGACCTGAAGCTAGAGGTCAAGTGAGAGTTTTTTCTCTAACACCTTCATAGCCATGGCAGCGGATCGAATCACGATCCCAAAGTAAACATCTTAAACTTTGCAAGGGCCTCGTGATCAAAACATTATGTATGCTTACTTGTAGTGATGCTGCACATGTACTCCTAAGTCTCTCTTCAATACTATTGGACTTGCACTCAGCCGGAGTCTGAGTGTTGCCTTGGCAGTCGCAGTCCAGACCTGTCTCTGGATCGCACAGGTTTCCGATCGCGTGTCCATTACATTGACAGGGAACACACTCATTGGTACCTGGATGCTTGTAGTAGCCTGGCTTACACTTCTCGCACAAGTCTCCTGCCGTGTGGTTTTGGCACATTATGCAGATCAGATTGCTCGTGTTCGATTCGTTCGCTTCTGGACCGTGCATGATCAAGTCGTCGAAAGTACTCTGCGAACAAAAAAGAACCCTGGTCAACAATTGAGCACAAAAAATGTATCTCAATATTCCAAACTTGGCTAAACTAGAGAAAAACAATTTCAACTTCCTTATTTACGTATATAATAATCCACAGAAAAATATTTTGATCAACTTTGCAGGAAGAGGTAATACAAGAGTCAGGGGCGGATTTAGGGGGGAGGGGCGCCCCCCTTCCTTAGGGATTCGACCCCCTGCCGACCAAAAGGGTCCCCCCTTTGTACTATTTTGAGATATCCATTTTTGGCTGACGGACCCTAAAAAGTTCAAAAGGCGCTAATGTATATTAATTCCGAGGGGGGAGCGCGCGCCCAAAAAACGCAATTTTTTGGTCAAAATTTTCCAAAAAGTGCCTAAAAACGCCTTTTTTGGTTTGTTTTTTTTTCAAAATTTTGCCTGCGGCGCAAAAATTTGGCCAAAACAAGGTCTTCATAGTGCATTGGGAGCTCGGAAAATCAGTTTGGAAGACCTCAAAAAAAGATCGACAAAATTTTTTAAATCCGCCTCCTCCCCCCTCGAGAAAATCCGAGATCCGCCCCTGATAATAGTGATGATTTCCTTGTCACAAAATAGAAATTTATAAAGAAGCTTATCGATGATCATCTAATTGCCATTAAATGCGCTCATTCGCAAAAAATCCATCGATAGACTACATACACGACCAGGGGCGGATCTAGGATTTTCTCGAGGGGGGGGGGGGGGGGGCGGATTTTCAAAAAATTTTCCAAAATTTTGACCTTTTTTTTAGGTCGACCAAATTGATTTTTCGAGCTCTCATAAAGCACTGTTTTGCCCCTATTTTGGCAAAATTTTCTGCACCGCAGGCAAATTTTTTAAAAAACAGTCAAAAAAGCCGTTTTTGGGCACTTTTTGAAAAATTTTGCGTTTTTTTTGGCGCGCGCACCCCCTCAAAGTTAGTATATATTGCCCCCCCCCTAAATCCGCCCCTGTACACGACAATACGTTAACTATCATGTAATCTGTATAACAATATTTTATAAAATTTTCAATATTCGATATCTCTTGTATTAATTCTGGAGATAAAATTTGTCTGCAGCCTTCAACATACCATTAAGTCCTCGTTGTTTGTCAAATGACTGAACTTCTTTTCATACATCGCTCTGTTGATACAATAGTCCGATTTGCCATTGCATAAGGAGGAACACTTTTTACAAGCATTCGATGAAGGCGAAGTCGCATTTCCGTAGTATTTCCTCACACATTTCTCACAATTTGTTCCTCCAGTGTTGTGCTGACAATTCAGACATGGTTTGTAGAGATCATTTGAACATACACTGTGACCATGACATGCACAGCTTGTTTCGCACTGGGCTCCTTTATAGCCCAAGTCGCACTTGCACTCATTCGGCTCAACGCACTTTCCATTTTTGGAACAGGGAGGTTTGCACTGAGGCTCACATTTTCCTGTTTTATCGTTGATCAGGTAATCGTCTTTGCACACACATTCGAAGCCCTAAAAATATTCCCGTTTTAAAGTCAATGCCAATTGTTGGCAATATCGATGACCTTGAGCTCTCTTACCGGTCTAACACTGAGTTTGACTTTTTACATAAAATTCTTTAAAATTTGATTTCCGCTGTCAAAATGAGCATTTATTGGTTAACCGTCGCCAACAATGTTAAAAAAATGGCAAAAAACTCAAAGAAACCGAAAGAAATATTGCTTTCTTCTGAACAGTTTCTAGCAAAGAGGCGAAGCGGAGCTTCGCACCACTTGCGATAGCACATAAAAATAGCATTCAAGCTAGCAGACAGGAATGGAAAGAAAGGAGAGCCAAAAAGAACAAAAAAAATGAAACGTAAAAACAGGTAGTCCAAAAACAATAAAACATACCGAGCGGCAACAGCCCATAAATTCCCGGCGAACCGAAAACAAAACTTTTGTCATGAAAAAGTTTGAACTACAAATTTATATCTAAGATTTTTAGCATTATTTGCGATCCGGAGGAGAGCAGAAAAACTGTTCAATTGAAACGACCCAAAATTAGGCCACTAAGCCGATAAAATATAACCCGAAATTATTTGGGCAAACGAAGTTTTTAAGCGGAAAAAAAGGAAAGTTTATAAAGTCAGTCTAGTAAAATTACAAATTGTTGGAGTAAATCAAAACATAGTCAACAGACAGTTGAAACGGAGTCAATGAACGCAAGTAAACAGGAAAAAAATGACTTGATTTTTGAAAAAATCTGGACTTTCCAATTTCAAAGAAAAATAGATTCACTTAAAGCTCTTTGAACTTCTAGACAATTTATGGTTGGATCTTTTTTTGATAAAATTAACCCAATTTGAGCAATCTGGATCAATAACTTAAACTTTCATTTTTCTGGGGAAACACCTTTGAAACTAAAAGTCGATCACATTTTTTCGTGAGCTTTACAGTTTTCAAGAAATCAAAAGTCACAAAATCAAAAGACCTTCAAAAAAATTAAAAGTCAAACCTCGAAAAAATAAATTGGAGCCTGAACAAATTTGAAGACTTTTCCTGAAAAAAAAAAAAACAGAAAATCATCGCGATCTATATAAGAGTCTGAACTACTTTCACCGACTCTTAAACAATAAAAGCAGTTACAATGAAAACTGCGTACAGCAAAAACAACAATTCTAAGATGTGGGTGTCAAGCTTTTATTAGTTAGTTTTTTTTAATATTTATTTCAAGACAAAAACGCAAATTAAAACCTTTCTTTTTATCATGGAAGGGGCAGGGTTCTGATAATTTTAAATTGAACCGTTTCGTAGATGTTCAGAATTCTGAGACACGTTTTATGAGCAGTTCAATTTTAAAATTATCAGCACCCTGCTGCAGGGGCGGATCTAGGATTTTCTCAAAAAAAAAGTCGAACATTTTGACGACTTTTTTAAAATTAGGTCGACCAAAACGCTTTTCTGAGCTCTCATAAATCACTGAAAAGACCCTATTTTGACAAAACTTTCTGCGCCGCCATATTTTTAGGGTCCCCACCAAAAAAAAAAAAATATATATATATATATATATCAAAATAATACAAAAGGGGGACCCTTTGGGTCGGCAGGGGGTCGAATTACTGAGGGGGCGGGGGGTATTATTGTCTTGAAACAACTGAAAAAACTAACTAATAAAATCACACAACTCTTGTCGACAAGACAACTTGCGGAACTATTGAGCTTCTGAACTACTTTTGTAAAAGCAATTCTCACCTCTTCCTTGTCCTCGCATCTCTCAGTCTTACTGTCACAGTCATGGTGGTGGTTCTTGCACTCATTCTCAGGTGGACAGTCGGTGTGCGACCAGGCGTGGCCCCTGAGAGCGAACAGTTCGTAGTGGTCCAAAGTCTGCTCCTCCGCCGGACGACTCAACAGGTGGCTAATCACACTGTCCGATGTACAGCGCTGTTGTCTGGGTCCATTTATTCCACCTTAAACACAACATCATTCCACCTTTCTTAACTTTTCTGTTCGTTTTAACAGTAAGAAAAACAAATTAAAAGCAATAGATTACAAGAATTTGCCGCAGTAGAAAGTAAAATTATTTTCAAATGAAGATCTTTGCCTCAGCCAAAGTCATTAGGGGATATAAACATACTTCACAAGTTAGTAAAGCTCTTTGCATTTCAAATACTTTTCATGATAGCACTTTTTCGTCAAATTATCCCCATTAGAGAAAACTGGATCGTTAGGATTTTTTTTTATTTTGCTGGGAATGCATAAAAATTAAGTCCATGTATGAAACAAGAGTTCATTCACCTTTTTCGTGACATTTGCACTTTTGCTGATCGATAGTGGAGTTTGCCTTCATTTAACAAAGGAAATGAAGTAACAACCTTAGAAAAAAATTACCAAGTGAAAGTTCTAGACGACAAAAAAACGAACTTCTGTCGCACAAAAGACCTTCGCTCAACAAAATAACTCAGTCTGGAATGCGGAGTTAAGAGAAACAGACTATTTACAGATCATCTGCGAATCGCAGAAATAACGAAAATTAAAATTTGAGCAAGAAGAAATTTTTTAGATTTTTTCCTGAAAAAAAAACGAACTAAAACTCCCTGAAGACCTAAATAAATGAAAGTCATGCTGTTCTTATACACTTAATGAGTTCTGAAAATACAACTATACAAACTTTCCAGAACACTGTAATATTAGCAAATGAAAACGATCAAATGTAACAAAAAATAACTAGCGCATGACTCGTGCCAACGGTGCTTTGAACTGATTGTTGAATAAGAAAGGAGCTTATTAAAATATATTAAAAAAAAACAACAATGCAACCGTTAAATTTAACTGTACCCAACCATCAGGGTTTTCTATTTCTCGGAAACCAAAAGAAATTGCGCAGTCATTATTGGAGGACATATCTGTAGCTCTTGGGAATAACATCAGTTATAATAATTGTACGTTAGCAGACAAATTTGGAGGCTACTCCTGCAAACTTTGGGAGTACTTTAAAATCACCCCCATTAAAGTGTTGAGAACTTCATTTTTCAATCTAGGTTTTCGTTTAATTTCAAAAAAAAACCAAATCTTGAAACAAAAAGGATTTGACCAGTCATATTTGGAGGCCAGTTTTGCAATTCCAGAAGGTACTCTGACAGCAGCGCATTACAGAGTTGAAGCTTTCAAGTTATTTTAAAATAAAATGAAAAAAAAACCATAGAAAACGATCTCGAAACCAAAAGGGTTTAAGTCATCATTATTGGAGGTCGAATTTGCAACCCCATAGCTGCCCTCCAAAAGATTGAAACTTTCAGATTCTGTTTTTCAAATAAGCTTTTTGAAAAAACAATGAAAAAAATTCATAAACGACATTCGGAAAGCAAAAGGTATTGAACAGTCAAATTTGGAGGCCAGATTTTCAATTTTATAGCTTACCCTGACAGCGCCCCACCAAAGATTGAAACCTTCGAGCATTTTCTCAGTTTTTTGAATAAATGAAAGAACCATAAAAAACCCCACATTTCGGGAACCAGAAGGATTTGAACAATCATATTTGGAGGCCAGATTAGCAAATCTTGAGTGCAACTTGAAATCGGCCCACCATAGGGTGAAGAATTTCAAGTTCTGTTAATTTTTTTCAAATCCAAATTTTTGAAAAAAAAAATTGAAAAAGTTATAAAAAAACGCCATATCTCGAAAACCAAAAGGATTTGGGCAGTCATAATTGGGAATAAAGATAGGCAAAATAAGTAATCTGATTTTTACTTATTAACACTTAGAGAACGGGTAATTCTAACCTTCCCAGCAAGCGCCCATTCCATACTCTTGGCGACCACTTTGCAATGAGCACCATCCACAGTGAGTCATCTTTTTACACGAAGAGCATTTTCTCTGATCTTCGCAGAGTTTTGGGCAGCCCTCGGTTGAATGTCGCACCACACGACCGCACTCTCCCGCTGCACATTGAATCGCAGCAAACGTCGGGCTGATACACTCGTTTAGCCCTTGAGCCCAGTAGCATTCTTTCCGCCCGCCGTCCGCGCCTCCCGAGTTCAAACACGACGAGCAATTCTCGTACGAATGGCATGGAGCCGGGCAAGTTTGTTCTATATTCACCGCTAATTTTTGAATAATAAGAGGGTAACAACCCCAGTCAAAATTTGAGTGTGGATCCATCTTAATCACCGAACTCTGTATTTGGTTCTGAAACATTCGGCTCCAGAAACATGCCGAAGACACGGTGCACTTGCCACAGTCCGACGCCAGGCACATGTTCCACTTCGAGCAAGACCGCGGCTCATAAATTACATTGTGATCGGCAGAAGGATTCTTAGCATCACAAGCTTCGCCTTTTCGTTTACATGAATTTTGAGTATCGCACCATTGACATTGTTCGCGCGAGCTTATGTGGCCTTGATCCTCTAGAAAATCGGAGACACATTGTTCACATGTTCTGTGTTGGGAACACGAGGCCCTGAATTTCCGCGGCAACGATGGGAAGTAATTTCTTGCATCCGCATCGACCCAGCATTCGTCGTTATTGGCTCCATAACGTGAACGGGAAACACAAATAAGTGAGCCCTTTCGCGTGTAAGTCGTACTGTTCAAACAACAGGAGCCGAAGCCTCCGCATTCATCAGGCGAGGGTTTTATGGCTTCACAATAAGTACATCCTGGAAGTCTCTCGCAATCTGCTTTGTTGGTTCCATGTTGTAAATTACAGATGTCGTCCGGCATTGAAAGCTTGTGCATTGATTGGAAAGTGACACCATTGAAGCCTCCGTATATGTAAATATCAGATCCAATCGCCACCGCTGAGTGTCCGATCACAGGTTCGAACCTGAGTTTCCCGAACACGGAGTTTGAGAATGAATGGCGCTCCAGTAACCATGTGTTGCACTTAATCACGTAAATCATAACTTCATTCGTGAAATCTTTTTGATCCGTTCGCCCTCCGAGAACAACCATGTAGTCAGATACTATTACTGCTTGATGGAACACAATAGCTGGTAATCTGTAGAACAAATTATCTTTGGGGTACACGACACTCCATTTTGCCGGTTCTTTACTGCTGTCAGACCCGTCGTTGAACTCACTGTATGTCAATGCATAGAGCTCATTCGACATCACAACCGAATTCCTCCAGTAAACAAAACCACCGTATACGTAAAACGTTTTGAACGGTTCGTAGTAGACAGTCGTATGTCCGAAAATTCCTATGGGTGTCGATCCCGCAGTCGGAACTGCCGACCACGCTTTTTTCTCAATGTCGTACTGCAACGTATAATTGTTGAAACCATGTTCCGGACTGTAGCCTCCAATAATGACAAGCAACTCAACTTTCTTCGACGGGTTACTCTGGTTATGAATTTTAACATAATTCATCGTATGTTGAGCAACAGTAGGAATCCAGCTATGACCTGGCTCGGAGTATGCCGGGTAATCGTCTTTGGACACAGGTGACATCTTCAGTTTGTCATTTTGCGCTTTGGCATCAGGTATGAAATGCCAGAATGTTCTAGAACCTTTATGGTCCATTTGTTGGAGACCCCCAAAAACATAGACAGTATCGCTATCTGTGATCGCACTTGTATGATAGTATCCTCTGTATGGAATAATCAAGAATTCTGTTCTTACAGTCGTTAATTTATTCTCGTCGATCGAATATTTAATCATATCAACCGGACTATTGGCGAAATTTCTGCCTCCAATAATGTAAAGATACTTCTGACTTTTATCGACTACTATTGTATGTCCGTGTCTACCGTACTTCGCTTCTCGTCCAAACGCTCCTGGGAGTAAAATTGTAAACTGAGGTTTACTTTGATGCGTTATTTTCTGAGAGCAATCTCGACCAGTGAAGTCTTTCTTACAGCTGCAGAAATACTTGTCGTCATCTCCCACAACACAAGCGCCTTGCTTTCTTTCAATTGAACAGTTGTTTGGACAACTTGGCAGGTCACAATTCCATCCCGTCATATTAGACGGACATTCACATGCGTCGTCACCACCTCGGTTGATCCAATTTCCGACACATGGCTTATCGTGTTTTGTAATCTTGGCCGTGAAAAACTGATTGCCATCTGTTACATTGGCCTTGAAAATTACAGTGATCGTAGTTTCGGACTCTATTACTCGTGTATGACCGGACAAGGGCGAGGACTTGCCACAAAACGCTCCCAACAGTTTATCTCGTTGATTGCTGTCGCTGTTCATAGAACTGTCGCCCGTTCCTCCATCCCCGGAAAGAAATGAAGGCGTGTTTTCATAAACATACACGAAGTTCTGACTGCAATCTACGTTAAGTTCCACAATTTCGAACGTCAGTCTCGTTCCGCTGGAAATCGCAGGTGACTTGTTAGCTCCTTCTCCGTAATTTATCAGCCAGATACACGCTACTTGTTCCGGATTTTCGGCCGACGGACCCTGTTCCGAGCCTATGTATTGGGTTAGTTGTTGGTCTTTTAGCAACGGGAGTTGTGCCATGCTGTCACACACTCGGTAACATCGCTTGTCATCCGGAGATCTCGAGTAGAACCTAAAAAAAAATACCGTAAAAATATAAATTAAGGTATAAAATAAACTTACTTAAATTTATCATTCGAAAATTTTCAAGTTTCGGACCGAGTGAACTATCTCCCCCCTTAATCAATTTATTTGGGTGGGAGAAAGTTCATTTGGTTAAAAGTAACTTTTTCAGCCAATCAGATTTGAGCATAGTACATGCAGGTCTTACGTCCTGAGTTTGCCATTTAAGTTTAGGGGGAGATTGTTCATTTGGTCTATTAAGGGGGAGATTGTTCACATGGTCCCAAGTTTCAATTTGGAACCGTGGATTCTGATGTTTGAGCGCGAATTCACTCAATGATAAATAAATTTCAGTATTTCCTTAAAACAAACGACGCAGTCTTGGGATACTGTTTTATTTCACGTTTTGTGTTTAATAAACAAGTCAGCTGAAACCTCTTCGTCTAGCTAATTCTTATGGTTTTTTTCCAGATTTCCGCTGCGGTAGATGATATTCACAAAAAGAGAAGAAAAAAACAGTTTCTTACCCGTCCAATTTACACCTCTCGCAATGGTCGCCTTCCGTGTTGTTCATACACACACATTTGCCCGTATCTTTCTTGCAAATGCCTTCTTTCGGATTGCCATTTCCATTACACTCACAATCTGTACATTCACTTGATGAGTTCCTATAGAAGCCATCCATGCACAAACTGCAGTCTTTTCCAGTGTATCCTTCGTCGCATTTGAGACATTTGCCCTTACTCTTGCAGTGACTGCGCTTGTTGCATCCACAGTCGAACTGACACTGGTTTCCGAAGTACCCTTTGTCACAAATGCAAGTGTGTTCATCAGTCGTGTCGTTTTTGATGCAGTTTCCGTTAGGTCCACAAGGTTTTTCACACCTAGAAAGTATCGAATGCACAAATACGGCAACCAGATATGTTAAGAATAAAAAACAGTATAGAGCAAAGGAAGGGAAACATGAGTTTTTTTCCTAGTTTCAATTCCTCTTTTCATAATTTCATCAATGATACGTAACATCTTGAAAACACTTAATTTTATAAATTGAGATTTAAAAAAATTCCTCAGCTTTATCAATTTTCCGCATGCTAGTTCCAATTTTTTTTTTGCAAAAAAAACATCTTCGAGGCCAGCAAAACTCTTAACACAGAGGTACTAAATAGAAAACGACAAAAAAAAACAGCTCTAAAAATAAGAAAAGATAAAAAAAGCCTTGAAATATAAAACTTTTGATGTGGCCGAATGATCCGACGGCCAGGAGAATTAAAGGCCCCTTTCCTAGCATCTGCGCCACGGGCCCTTGACAATTCCCTTACACTGGCACATTAATTTGCAAATTCGATATACAGCAAAAGTGGCACCAAATTCAAATAGACTCAATTTTGCATGTAATAATTTGGAATATAAAGAACTGAAGGCATCCACGCCAACTTTGCATGTAAAAAATCGGAAAGCATCAAGCCAAATTATGAATAAATTCTGCATTTCAAAAAATTGCGATTAAGTTGGAAAGATTCAGAAATCTAGTATTATTTTTTGAACTGTTCTTTAAAACAAATAACTTTTTTTGTTTCATATGATGATACAAAAATGCATCAACTGTTTTAACCTATTTCTAATCGAATGCCAAAGCACATGCAATCAAAAAGACGTAAGTGTGCCATAAAAATTGGTAACAATTTTTGCGACTTAGGTTGGAAAAAACTGTCGTATTATTACACAACGCTCGGTAAAGCGCACAAGCCCATAAGGAATTTCGCAATTTCGAAAAAAAATTTCGCGAAACCCCAAATTCACTCCTGATACTAACAAATTCATGGTAATACATTTTTGAAGTTTCTGCTGCTATATACAAGTTTTAGGGAACTCGCTATGCACAGAACAAGTAAACATGCCACTTTCACCTCTATTAAAAATCTATGCTATGAGCAGCCCAGCCCGTATTGCAATCTACAAAACCTTGACCAAAATAGATAAAAAATTATTTAGATAAATCCATGTTTCCAACAAGCGAAGCAGCCTTTCGCGAAAAATAGCTAGAAACGGCAAAAAGGATATTTAGAAAAAAAAACAAATGTTCTGTAAAACATTTAACAAAATTTCTTAGAAAAGCGAAAATTCAGCCGACAACAGGATTCAAACTACTTCTTGAACGGACTACAAAAAATGGAGTCAATCGCTTTCGCAACTGCTCCATATCGCCTTGATGACCTGCCTAGCAACACAATCGAATGGTTTCTACCAGTTAGCAATAGCGGATTTAGGATAAACTCCTCCTCCTCTCAGGGTCAAAAAAGTGATAGAAGGAGGCGTTTACCTTCTAAAAGCGCTACTGCTATTTGGTACGAACCATTCGATTGTGTTGCTAGGCAAGACATCAAGGTATTATGGAGCAATTGCGAAGCCGATTGTCTCCAACTTTTGTGGTCCGTTGAAGAAGGGGTTTGAATCCTGTTGTCGGCTGACTTTTTGTTTTTCTAAGAACTTTCGTTTTTTTTGTTGGTTTTTTAAGAAAAATTTTATGTTCTTTTTCAGTAAACATCCTTTGTGCCATTTCTTGCTATTTTTTTGCAAAATGCTTCTTCAATTGTTGTTAACATGGATTTTTCTAAATAATTTTTCTCTATTTTGATCAAGGTTTTGTAGAGTACACTAAAGGCTGACCTGTGCATAGCAGAGTTTTTTTAATAGGAGTGAAAGGTGCATGTTAAATTATTCTGTGTATAGCGAAATTCCTAAAACTTCTTTATAAAAGCCGAAAATTCAGAAAAGTACTAACATGACTTCGTTGGTATCAGGAGTAATTTAGCATTTTGCAAAACATTTTTCGAGGCTACGATATTCCTTATGGGCTCTATTTGTTCACACTTGCGGGCTTTAGCGAGAGTAGTAAAAAATAGGACTTTTTTCAACCGGTAATACACCTTTTGTTGCACCTTCACGGCTTTTTGATAGCATGTGCTTTGGCATTCGATTAGAAAAAGAATCTTTTTACTGCTTTGGAAGAGCTCGAAAAATCAATTTGTACACCTAAAAAAAGTAAACAACATTTTCGCCAGCCCCTTGAAAACCCCTCCAACCAACCCCCCATCACTCCAGATCCTTTCCTGCCAGTTAGCAAAAGATGCGTATGACGTACATAATATGACGTACATGATATTAACACATCCGTTCGTTTGTTTAATCGAAGATAAGAAATAATGAAAAATTATGTAGAAGACTCAGCAAAAATTTCAAAAACTGCAAACAGAAGGTTTTCTAGCAAAAATGAGAAACAGTATTTTTAAAAGATAGCTAACAGACAAATGGAACAGAGTCATTGAACGCATAAAATGGACTTCTTTTTTGAAAAAAAATCTCAACTTTCCAATTTCCAAGAAAAAATAGATGGCATTAAAGCTCCATGAATTTCTAGAACAATTAATAATTGACACTTTTTTGAATGAAAATGACCAATCTGAGAAAACTGGATCTACAGATAAATTTTTTATTCGGCTAAAATCTGTTAATTTAGTTCCATAGTCGATAACATTTCTTGTGATCTTTACACTTTCACTGTAGAGCTTGCCTTCTTTTTAAAAAAATGAACTGAACTTATTAAAAAAAACCGCGAAAAAGTAAATTTGAACTTGACAAATTTTAGGACTACGTTCATCGACTCTTCAAAAAAGGAATTATTATACACACAGGCGAAACTGAGCTTCGCACTACTTGCAATTAATGGTATGACGAATCGACCAATAGAAACGATATAAGATATTTTCGGAACGACTGGAATCGAATTTGAGAAAGCTGAACCTTCAAAAAAAACGGGCTATGGGAACTGAGCAGACGGACGATGGTCTGAAAAAGCACAAAAAGCTCTAGTTTGCAAAAACCGCCCGGATTCTAACCGCAAATTTTTGCCGTCTCGATCAATTGTTTTACCTCTACACCAGATGCGCCAAAACCCTTCACGCTTTGCAGAGAGCCTTCATGCCAAAAAATGAACCCTTCATGCCGAACACACACACGCACACAAAAAAGTCTCCTTCTCATCCGAACCCTCACACACCAACACAAAAATCTGTGAACTAGCAATTTTGAGTCTCACGTAATGCATGTAATAAATTTTGCATGTAATAAATTTGCATATAATGAATCGCAAATCATTAAGCCACTCTGTGTATAAATTATGCATTTCAAAAAATAGTGAGATATATTAGAAAATTTCTGAAATCGAGATTTTATTTTTGTTATGTTGTTTGAAACAAATAGCTTTCTTCGGTTCACTTGATGAATTAAAAATTCATCAACTGTGTAAACTTATAACTATTCTAATGTCAAAGCACATGTTATCAAAAAGCTGTAAAGGTTCAATTTATTGCCAATCATTTTGTATAGCTAATTCGATGCAGCTAAGTTGCTTTAAGTCGCAACAATACTTGCGACTTGGTCGCAACAAAAGTCACAACAATATTTGCGAATTAGGTTGGAAAAAATAGAAAGTTCCTACCATAACACTGTTCTTCGCAAGTGTAAATAAGCCAAAACCTTAAGCCGACAAAAAATGAAACAAAAACGAAATTTTGACAAATCGAGTTGGTAAAATTCGATTAGGCGGGATATTAAAGGCTAACATGCTCAAAATTTGTTGACCAAAACACCTGGTAGATGAGTCCTGTGAGCAAAATTGTTTACAGGAAAAAAATCTTGTAATCAATTCCTTTACCCTTGCTTAACGCAAGGGTAATTAACAAAATATTTTTTAAAACTTCCGAGCAGATTTTCAACCAAAGAGCTCTCTATAATTCAACCAATACAAAGTCCCTACAATTTGATGGAAGATAAAAACTTACCGAGTGAATAATTGGCAAAACTGCTGTAAACATGAACATAGCCAACAGACAGTTGCAAAAGAGTCAATACACGCAAGTTAAACAGAAATAAATACTGTCTTCTGAATTTGTGAAATTCAAAGAAAAGAAACAGATCCCCTTAGAGCTCCTTGAATTTCTATAACAGTTTATGGTTGACACTTTTTGATGAAACTAACCCAATTTGAGAAAACTAGATCAAAAAGTAAAATCTTTATTTCGCTGGGAAATCTGAAAAGTAAATTCCACTTTTTAAACTAGAAGTCGATCATGTTTTACTGACCTTAACACTTTTGCTGTTCGATAGTGGAAATTACGTTCCTTTTCTGCAGAGGCGAATTTTGCATACACAAGCAAAAAAGTATGGCCGATAACGCTACTGGGAAAAACTGACTGAGTTAAACTTTGAGTCTACAAAATTTCTTAAGCGCTGCACGCCAATTATGAGTCTATATAATTGCTAAGTGAGGCAAGCCAAATATAACGCATTAGCAGGACCAGTCAATTTGAAAAAACCAACTAACATGCCTCAATTTATAGAGCGGACGAAAAAGTTCATTTAAAACAACTGACCATGCCCAGGTTCGAACCCTCGTATTTTGTTGCAGGTCTCCTTTCCTACCTCTACGCTACAGATCCATGTTACGTTTAAGCTAAGCTGCTAATTCTAATATAAAAGTCTGTGTTATTATCCTTAGCATTGGCTGTACTTAATAGCTGGTTTTTGATTGAAATGAACACTTTCAAAATGAACTCATTTTGTCGCAACGATATTTGCGTCGCAACAATAATTGCGACTTAGGTTGAAAAAAAAGAGAGTTCATACTATAACACAAGCTTTGCTTGAGTAATGATCGCTTTTATTTCTGCAGCAGTTTTGCATATTTCTTCTTTATAAATCTTTCGGCTTTTCGGTGATTATCTGCTCATATTAACTTAGCAAAATACCATATTATTTTCGCACGCTCGAACAAATAGACATATTAAACAAGTTGAAATGCACAAACTATTTCGATATAATCCCGCTTTTATATCAACTTTTTATGTAAATAGAGTACCCTGGCTATGAGCATGTATCGCTGAATATTTCGATTAAAACTCTACAACTATAAAAAAAAAACAATTGAGAAATATAGCCAACAGCGTCAAATGAAATGTAAATGAAAGTTACTTCGGCTCTTTTTCCTCCCCTTAGAGCCCTTATTTCTTCGTTTACCCCCACCGAACCTTGTAGAAATCAAATCAAAACGAGACTCACGTTTGCTTGCAGGCCATCTTTGTATGTCCGTGATCATCTGTAAACTCCTTTTTGATGTATCCATTTTTACAGCGGCACTCATAGCCGTCTTCTGTATTGACACAATGCGACCCATTCACCTCCAGGTTGCATATATTGGCGTCCAGACACTCGTCTCTGTTCGGACACTTGTGGTAGAAGTAGTTGTGATCCAGTCTGACACTACTACTTTTTGGTCTGGGTTTGTACTTTGAAAGAGAACTACTCATGGTCGTCGAGAACAAGTCAGCCGCGCATGTTTCGAATGGACCATTGAAATTGCCTCCCACACAAGACCTAGTTAAAATAATTTTTTCATTTTTTATTCGGGACATTTTCTCAACATAACTGGGAGGAAAAACCTTTGAACATAAACTCGTGTCTGAGCAAAACACAACTAAACATAATCGCAAGCGTAAATATTAACGGTGAGACAAGCTTAAGCTGTGGTATTATTGGTTTGACTACAAAACCTGTAGTTAAGGTCTTCTTGAAAAATAGTTTAGGACTTCTATAAACTTTTTCCAGTTGAAATACAATTAATGCGCTATTATGAGCAGCTCGTGCAATACACAGTCTATTCAACTTAAGTATCGAACACGTATCTCTGAACTCTGCGTAATGACCATGCGCTGAGAAATATTCCCAACCCCCATGCGTGATTATTAATCTTAACCAGCACGCCTAATTAAATGAAGCTGACTTACGATTTGCCATTTACACTGTCAAAATGATGATAAAATAAATTGAACCTTCCTCTGACAAGTATTTTTTAACCCAGAAACCAGAATAATAATTATGAAATCAAAATAATTGAGTTCAAAAAATCACCTTTTCAAAATAAAACTCGCTCGTACACATCAATTTCAACGAAATTTTAGAGCCAAAATTACAAACTTGAATTATGTTTTCGTATAAAATACCTATTTTTCATCATAGTGAACCTTCTCATATCGCAAAAAAAACTTTGCTTTGATTCTTTTTTAGATATCTTGACCAGATACACCACAGACAATTCATTTCTCAAACCCCACTAACATAAAATCTGGGCTAAAAAATAAAAAGTACCAGAAATGTTTTTCAAAAGTCAAGGAAAGATTGTACACTATGTTACGAAGAAACTGAATATGATTTTACCCGTTGTCTTCGCAAAACCCACAGCCAGGGTGATTCAAACACGAGGCACAAGTATCTTTTTCGGAACACTTCGTACACTTCGCCGGGGTATTTTTTTCCGAATACGACTTGCAAATTCCATACGAATACGCCGGCAAGTACATGTAAAATGGCATGCACTTTTGGAGACTCTCACACCAAGCGCATTCCGAGAACCTCGAGCCAGTTTCGCTTCCAATTTTGAAACACTCGCCACACGTTGCTCGTAAATGACACGGTTTCGGACAAGCAGCAGGTCGGAACTTTCGTTGCGCTTCTGACAACTTTTTCTCCTCGTCTAAATCTTGTTCTGGAGGTCTTCTCAAACATTGCACACTTGTGCTGGTTCTAGCCCACACACAACCCTCTTGGGCATTACAAGATGTGCACTCAACGTGATCTGTGCATGTTATGCAATGGTGGGGGTAAACCACTAGTCCTGGTTTCAGAGATTTTTCCTGGGGCGTTTCCCATTTGCCGATGCATTTGCGTTCACGTTCGTCCCACCCACAAACACCTACTCCTTCGCCTGTGCACTCGAGACATGAGAGAATCCGCGAGCACTGTTTGGACCATCGCGTGGGTTTTATCTGATGTATGCTGAGGTCCGAAATCTTAGAGCCATTATGATTCGTTTTGAATATTTTCAGTCGACCGTTTGCTAAAAAAAACCACACACTAAATAAAATTAAGTAATTTCAATTAGTTTTAAGCTATATTCGTTAGAAAAATGTGCCTTGAATTGGATTATATATTTTTTATTCCTTCTTTACAAGGAACGTAAAAAAAATTAATAGCACAGAATCACGATATTGGCCAAAAAGCTATTCTCCAAAACGCTAATTATCACTTTTCGGTCAGCCGAACTACATTTCCATAAAAATGATTTTTCATATCCATTAATTTCTTTGACTCATGAAAAATTAAATGTTTTAAAAGTCTGCAGACAAAAAATTGAGATTAAAGCTCTTTTTTATGTGAGCATGAAAAATGGAAACTAAAGGAAAAAAAATAAGGAAAATGTGAACACACATTTTAATCAGCACTATCCAGCCTTTGATTTACGTTAACAAAATTCCAATTCTGAGCCACAAATAATATATCTAGTGAGTGAGTATTTTCCTACTCAGCCAAGTAATAACACACTGCTCATAGTAGCGGCTGATCGTCTTTTCCTTTTAACTACTTTAAGGCGAGACAGTACAAAAGGCAAACATAAATTGGAAATAATTTTATTTTGATGCATAATATTAGCAAAAAATGTGCTCGAAAGGGGAGCTATTGTTTGCATCTTTTATCTTTAAGTCCCATTTAAACAAGACGGGGAAGTTTAAAAAAATTATACTGCTTGTTTTGATCTTTTTTTGTTTGGAGTTACCGATTTTTTTTTGGAGTTTTGGATCATTTCTTTAACTATTAACCCCCCTCCTATGGTATCTAGAAAAAAATATCCACCCACCCATTTAACATCTATCTCAACTGTTCAGGATAAGCCAATCGCAACAGAAGAAGGGGAATTGTTAAAGAGTTAAGCTACAGTTAAGGATTTTTGAAACAAGCATAAGCAAAATTTCATTTAAAAAATAGCCCACAAACCTGTAAGCATGTACTTCTCTGATCTTGCATGCTTAGTGACATTTTTATAATTCAAGTTTGCAAATTGGCATAATTTCAGGTCAAAACAATTAAGACGAATAAAGACTTTTTTAAGTACATATTTAATGACTATAGTTTTCAAAATTTCACTCTAATTTGACAGTATTATTCATTCCAATTTTATAATCCTAAGGAAAAAATAACGTAGGATTTTAACCCAATCATGTTCGGGCGTTGTACACGCAGTACTGTGCAGCTTCAATTTCAACAAAAAAAACGGCATGGGAAATCTTAATTTGGGTGGCGGAATGCTTAAGTGACTGTCGAACAATACCTTGTCGATTACTGACAGTCATATTTGCTTCAATCTGAATATCGCAGCCATCAGAGCTTTCACATTTTGTATCGTTCAAAAACAGCCACTCCTTATGCGTCAAGGAATCCGCGTCATACCAAACAGGCGCATTCTTCGTCACTGGTATCTTTTTTTCCGATATATTCACAGAAGTGTTGAGGTTTTCCAGAAGCATGGCATACACTTGGGCTTGTCCGTCAGCAGCGCCCATTAGTTCGAGAGTACCTCTGAATTGGGCTACAATTGGTGCGTGTTGATCCGGACCTCTCATTGACACTACATATCTCGGATCCATCTCAATGTCGAAGAACAGTGGGATGTCGGAACCCAGTCCAACTTTGACGTAGTCAGGGTAGTCCCAGTTCACTGGTTGGAAAAATATTTTCTCAATGAACCCTCTTGGGAAGTCGTATTTGCAGCTGTCAAGAATGTTTGTGACTCCCGTGTTATCGGGGCCAGTATTAGGACAATGAGGTTCCATCTCAGTCTGATCCGCTGCAATAACAAAAAAAATGAAACTCTGTCAAAAATTAAATACTTCGATGCTCAAACACGTCTTAAAATAACAAAAAAAAATTCAAATTCAAGCTTCTTTTTAGGTAAGAAAAACTGTAAAACCCAGCCAAAAGACAGTTAGAAAAGAGTCAATGAACGCAAAGAAACAAAAAAAATAGACTTTTTTTTGAAAAACTTCAACATTCGAATTTCAAATAAAAAATATATGGCCTTTAACTCTTTGAAGCTCAAATGCAAATAGCAATTGGCACTTTTTTGATAAAAGTAACCCAATTTAAGAAAACTGGATTATAAGGAAAAGTTTTCATTCCGCTGGGAAATTCAATTCTGTATTCTCTGGAAATATTAATTCTGAATTTTGTCTACCTTCAAGCAAATGAACTTGAACTGAACTCAAAAAGTTCATATATAGATGAGGGCATTCATATGTGCGTTTTATAGGCATGAACGCACTTCTTTGTTATTAGAGCGTTTGAAGATTATTCCTGAAAAAGCAAAGAAAAATTCATCAAGGCCTATAAAAGAGGCTTGAACTACGTTCATCGGATCTTAATTAGGTATCATAGCCAACTGACTTTAACTTCACGAATCTATCAGGGTTCACATGTTTTTGGAGCAACAATTTGAATTGGATACAACTGAATTGATATGTACTTTTCACATTCCTTTCAAACTTTGAACTAGGGAGGAAACTTTCAGGATGCAACTTTCGACCTGTTTAAATCTCGATTCGCCACGCAAGTCGTCTGATGAAAACGACATTTTAAGTTTTCAGATATTTTGAAATCGTTTGCAAAAAGACTTACAAGCAAGCAAAGCAAACACACAAACAATACAATATTTCAAGGAAGCTATGCAAATTAACAAATTGTAGGTAAATATTTCAAGTTGGTTTGATTGCATGTATCCGTCAGCAAAGGCTAAGAAGCAATAAAAATAGTATATTTAGGATAGTAATTTAATTGCTTGATTCGGTTCTTAATCAGTTAAAGTGGTTCATCGACTAATCATTAAGAATATTCACTTTCAATGCGATTTAATTTCATTGATAGCTTGAACCTCAATGTAAACGTTTTCTAGCGAATTGTTAAAACAAAACGTTGAGATATTGCAATTTTTTTTTTGCTCAGATCAGTCGGCAGAAAGATAAGGTTTTCAAAAAAAACCATTCAAAAGAAAAATCATCAAACAGTTGAACTTTTCTGAAAGCTTAGATCAGATCCCAAAAGTTTTTCCAGAGAACCATTGAAAATTAGAATTGAAAAAGTTGTTTTGATCGCTTGAACTCATTTTTTCGATCAAGAAATTAACGCGATTGAAGATTGATATATTGCATCTTACTCAACAAGCTCAAAACGGGCTGAAAAACGCGCGGTTCTAAGACAAGACATTCAAAAAATGGAACCAAGAATTATGTCAAGCTCCAATAATAGTTTGCAAGAAATCAAAAATCAATATTTTCTAGGAGAACTAATAACATCATGAAATTTTGGTAATATTTCAATAGTTTGTTTGGTCGTAGCATTGAATATTTTTTGTTACCGGGATAACATTATTCGGTTTTCAAAAACTTTACAAAAAACTTTTGGCATAGATTGTGGACAATATTTTTCAAGTTTTCCAGATTTAAGAATATTTGAAAACTCTAGAAAACTCGCTGCTTTAACTCTCCTAAAAATTTTGCTCGATAACCGCAACTTAGCCATAATTCGTTGCTTTAATTCTCCTAGGCATTGCGCATCGATAGCCGTATGAGTAAAAAATATATTACATTCGCTTAACATATAAAAAAGACAAGACATCCATTGAAAAACCGCTGTGAGCTCTAAAAAAGAATAAACTAGTTTTAAAAAGAACATATTAGTTTTTGAAAAAAAATTCTAAAAAATTTTTTTTGAACGAATACTCACTTTTGTTCATACATCTCTGTTGAGCTGAACACCAGAAACAGTTCTCGTTTCCGAACAATAGACACGAAGTACAATCAGCCTGAGATCCACACACGCCGGGACACATACCATTAGTAGGTACACTTCGACAACCGCTCGGATCAGACCTGGATAGGCAAGCCTTGTTGCCTCCAGTCCATTCGTGGCAATAGGAGCACTTTGGATCCTGATGGCACAGCTCTTCATTCTGACTCGCTTCCTGACATACTGCATCTTCTTGCTCGTCGAAAACACTCGGAGGTGCCTGGAGCAAATTACAAAAAAGGTCAAAATATTACAAAAAAGGTCAATTGAATAAAGGTGAATTCTTAAAAGATGAAAAACTTCGAAATAATTCACTCAAAAAAACTAATGTTACAAAAAAAAACTATTTTAGTTGAACATGCCAAACAAAATGGTTACGTATCCGGAGACAAATTTGCTGGCACAATGTTCCTGGTTATTTTGAAATGAATAACATCCAGCATTCGTACTGCCCTCGCATATATATATATTCTTTAAAAATTCTTGATAGTCTAAATTTGATTTTTTAAACCACCGGTCCTACTCAATGCAGAACCATCCAATTCGCCGTAGCCGGTCATATCTTGAGAGGCGGATGACAATGGGACCACTCCAACCATGACCGAAGTGGGATTCAGACAATTGACCCTCCCTTTAAGAGATGCGTGCCTCACCCACGGTGGATCATCTAATTTAGTTTCCACTTGCCTTATAGACATACAAGTCTGATCGCACAGTTCCGTCGTATCCTCCGTAAATACCCATCAAGTTGTCGTCCAGCAGCACTGCAACATGGCCCTTACGTGGAGGAGCCGCATGCATTGTAGTCGAGAGACCTAGTCACAAAAATAAAGTTTATTTTGCGTCTTATTCAAATAAACAAATGTTAAAACAAACCACGCACATTAACAAGCTGGGAAATTGGTAAATAAAATTGTATACGGTTTGAGAATTAACTAAAAGCTAAGAATGGTTATACTGTTAGTAAAGCAAGTTACTACCTCTAAAACTAGTTTGAAACCAAAATTATTTATTCAAAATTAGTTATTTATATTCATAACATTACAACTAGAATGTACACCACATCAATTTTAGAGCTTTTGAATGAAATTTTTTTTTTTTTTGAAAAATAGGATAGCATTTTTTACTTCTTTTTGTTATTTTCTGTTGCGGTAATCGATGAATTTGAAGCCGAAACGTAATTCAATTGCACCTGTCTAAATTAGGAAGTTAAAATGTTATGCCATTCAGTTAAAAATAGTTTTTTTTTAGTTGGCAGGTTAATTGGTTCACCCGACTGCTGTACCTGCACTTACCGTTCATGGACATTTGCAACTTTTCCGCAAGTTTTGCAAGTTCATAATAGTTTTCGCCTGAAAGTCAAAACATTAACAGTTGCCCGACTTTTATTTAAAGAACATATATCATCTTAACTCTGGGAAAACATTTATAACCATCTCTAATTGAAAAATGTGCACAACTGAAAATTCATGCAATGCAACAACTAGGAAAAATGCCGACGAAAAATCTTCATAGCCATGCCCGAGTAAACAAACTAAAAGTAAACAAGACCAACGAAACATGCTTTTTACTTGTTTTGCTAATCTATATTGATAAATGATCGATTTCATAGTCTAAAATAAAACATCCACGCATAGGTTCTCTGTAACTTGGAAAACTCCAATACTCATAGAAACGACCATGCACGCTTAAATTACTTGGCTAATTTATCCTCCGTACTTTACCTTGTCTGCTTTCCACAAAAGTCCGGATTAGGCTAAGCTCTAACACAACACGAAAAAGGTTAATAAGCTCCTTCCTGATTTAAACTTCTTGAGCGAAGAAAAAACTGCATTCAATCCATATTGGGTGATTGTTATGAAATTAGTTTCTGAATACATTGAGCGAATCTGTACATAGAAAACCAAGTTAGATAGGATTATCAAAAAATAATGGTTACACACGATTTCAATTAGTAGCAGCGGATTTTTTCTCAAAAAGGATCTAATTTTAAGGTAAAATAAACCTAATGCAGTTTAAAAAAATCACATGCATCCTGAATACGATTTTCAGTCCGTAAAATTTTGAACTGTACATTCTTGTTAATTTTGATATACAAACGTATTTCTAAATCTTCCTCGTGTTTTTATGTTAAGTTTTGAAGATGTCAAGTTTTTTATGTCACGAAGAGCCAAAGCTGCGTACATGACTAAAAACTGATCACAAAATATTTGGATTATTTTTGTACATCTGAAAAAAAAAATGTTGGAAATTAATATTTCCTTTGATTTCATTGTTATTTTGGAGCTCACATTCATCTAATTTGATTTTTAGTATCAATAAGTAAAGTTTTTGTTCCACAGGTAAAACTTAAAATTAAACTCCACTGTAGAAACAAGAAGTGGTTCACGTTTTTTGGCGCCATTTCCACGTTCGTATTGGGAGAGCGCTATTTACGTAACCTTCAGCAAATGAAATTCAATTGAACTGAAAAAGCGCATATATAACTAAGTGCATTCATAAATGCATTAATTTGTATGAATATGTCTTTTCAACACCAATAAATAATGTTTCTTAATCACTTTACCTCCATTTCCGATCAAGACGCGTTCTTTGTCAATCCACATATGACAATCTAAATGGAACAGAAAAGTCTCGTTCATTACACAGCTCTTCTCAGCCGAATCGCCCTTCATCGAGCCCCCGAACACCACCATGTAATTGCCCATTATCACTGCACTATGATGTGCCAGCTCATCCGGCTTCGCTCCTCTGTCTCTTTCCACAGTCTCCCACATCGTTAGATAGTTCATGTCAGTACTGTAGGCTAGCAGATCGTTCGTCTTTTTGGAAAAGCTCGGAGAAAAGGGTGCGTAACCTCCAAAAACGAGCAAAACTTTTCTCTTCTTGTCGTAGACGGTCGTATGACCGACTCGGCGCAATAGTAAGCCATGGTAGCCTTCTGGAGTCCTAGCAGACCACGTCATTTTGACGGTGTCCAGGACGTAAATAAAGTGATTGTACGAATCATTTGCAAGTCGTCCCCCGATTACAAATATTTCGTGACCGACCAGTGTTGATGTGTGATCAGCTATTCCTTGTTTGAATGGCCAGTTGTAATGAATCCAATTTCGGCTTTCTAAAATTTTTAAAGAAATTTGAATCATGAATAACCCCAGGACGAAAGATGTCCGGATTCAAAAAACTCAAATCACAAACGTCTATATAGACCAAATAACTTCATCAATGGGAAGTTTCATTTCAATTCCAAACAATTCTTTTAGCAAATTTAAAAGAGTTGAAGAGAACATCCGCACCAGTTGCGATACAAAAAAAAATATAACAACTCAAGCTAACGGACAGAAATGAGACAGAAACCACTGAGTCGAATAAAAAACTTTTTACAAAAATGTCGATAAATTCACCTACATCATGTTATATTTGTGGAAATCATGTTCTCTATTCATGGGCTATTTGAGGAAAAGTTGTCCAGAAACACAGTTTCCTGCGTTAGCTATGCATTCAGTAAAATTACAGAGTGGCAGCCTGGCCGACAAAACTTGAGTAGACGCGCTTTAAGCCGAAAACAAAATTGATGTCGAAAAATCCGAGCCTTTAACTTTGAAACTCGAAGCTTATATGCATCCCATCCTGAAAACCACAACAGCTTGAACACAGCCAATAGACATTGAAACCGTGTCAATAATTCAAGAAAACCAAACTACGATCAACTTAATTTGAAAAAATATAACTTTCGACTTTCAAGGATGAACAGAAAAAAACTGACTTGTTTTTGAAGAAATCTCAATTTTCGAATTTCAAAGACAAAAATAGATGCCCTTAAAGCTCTTTCAATTTCTAGAGCAATTTATGATTCGCGCATTTTTGATAAAATTCAAAAAAAAAATGATAATTGAATCAAAAAGTGATTTTCAATTCGCTGGGAATTCAGAAAAATAAAATCCATTGTCGAAACTAGAAGTCGATCACGACCTTTACACTTTTGCTCTTCAATGGTGAACTTAAAAAGAAATCAAAAGTCAAAGCGCTTTAAAATCAAACTTTATCGTGAACAAATCATAAGACTTTTTCTTGAAAATGTTCCGACCACATTCAGTAGCACAATGTTCGGACCACATTCGTATAAACGACATTTTTTAAATCTTTATATTAGCGTCGTTTCTTCTGCGCGGTGTGATTATAGAACTAAAAAAACGCGAAAAAGTTAGAGAACTAGGCATAAAACACTACAATTGTTTTCAAATAAATAATCGAAAAACTGAAGAAAAAAATCCATATTTGTATGAAAATTTTTATGGCCCAGAATGCGCTTTATGAAGCTTCCAAAACCGATTTTCTTTATTTTTGATTTAGCCCTAATGGCCAACATATGTTACTCGATCACTGTACTCGCTCGAAATTAGATTGAAACTCATCCAACCGGTTTTTCGTCCAACCGGGACAGAATTTTAAACCGGTTTTTCTCAACACCGCAAAAAATTTTAAGAATTTCTGGAAATTAAAAAGGGTTGAATATGATACATCAACCGACCCATTCCGATAATAAGTTCTCGTATTTCCGTGAAAAACAAAGAAAAAACTAAAACAACCGAATATCGAATTTGAACAGGAACAAATTTAGTACTTTTTCCTCGAAGGGTCTAGCTTTTTATTAATACTGAACTCTGCGTCAGCTTGGGTTAGTGCGCTTCTCAAAACACTATCCAGAAAACGACAAAAAAAATTGATTTATAAAGTGAAATAAGAAAAAAGTAACCGTAATTAAAATCAAATGCAAAGAAAGATCAAAAACTTAAAAACCTTCAAAAATTGTTTTTGTCAAAAAAATTATACAAATTGCAAAAAAAGCCCATGAGATCCAGAAAACAATGTTCTGCGCCATAAAAAACTTAACAAGAAGCTTCTGAAATGCTAAAGAGAAGCTGAATTTCCAAAAAGTCTTTTTTGCGGGAACTGAGCCGGCAAAAATAAGCTGAGCAACAAAAATATAAATTAGCAAAAAATTTTCAGTTTCCAGAATTTTCAAGTCCCGAATGGAATCGAACTGCTGAACTTTGTCGTCCATCATGGGTGTTAAATCAACTTAGAAGCAAGCTGAATCTTCAAAAAAATTGGGCTACGGGAACTAAGCCGACAAAATAAACAGACGGACAATAGTCCGAAAAAGCTCAATAACTCAATTTTGCAAAAAAAAAACAGGTCCCGGCCATATTCGAACCAGAGGCATTTGCTATCTCAAATAGATGTGATACTTCTACCCTAGATGCGCAGGAACGGTTGATTGAATTTGAATTTATATTTAAAAAAATGAAGCATATGAGGGAGTCTAGGCTCCAGGAGATGAGTCCTGCAAACAAAGTTGTTTAGGGGAAAAAGTCTAGAACCCGATTACAATACCCTTAGCTATCGCAAGGGTAAAACATTCGTAAGGATGCCACCGAGAGCGGCACCAATATAGGCGGCTTAGGCTGGAAAAAATAAAAGTCGTTCCATTACACTACGCTCGTTAGTATAAAAGTCTAAGAAGTACAGCAATAACTTATCCGAAAAATAAAGCAAACATTTCCGGAAAAAAAACCTAATCGACTAGCTAAAAAGATAACTTACGCACAATTTTCTGTTCATTTCAAAACCCAGTTTGCACTTTTGCTTCTATTTCAGCCTCAATTTGAGTTAAAAAATTTCCTCGCATGCTCAAAAACCTAAGTTTAACTAATGAAACAATTCTCTATCCTCGTTAACTCCCAGTTCGCATTTTTGCTTCCATACGAAGCTAAATATGAGTATTGAATTCTTGTAAACGCTCAAAACACCTTGCTTGACAATTTTGACACAGGCGAAGCCATTAACAACCATACAACACAAACATTAACAAAAACAAAAAGCCGGAAAAAATGAAATATTTTAACAAAAAACTAGATCATACAAACTTTCATAAGTCTCGATAGAAGTTCATTCCAGGCAAACCTGCCACACACTTGAATTTTGAAACAGCAACAACGCAACAAAATTTACGAAAAGAAACAAAGCCGACAATCTTTGAGAAGACGCAAGTTGAGACGAAAAAAATATGATTTTATGAAAAATGTCCCACCTTAAACAATAATGGAGAACACTTGTACTTGTAATATTTACAATGAAAGTTGTTTACAGTACAAGAAAAATCAGTGATGTGGCAACTAAGCCGACAATCTTTCAGCGGACACCAACTGAGCCGAAAAAAAATTTATCAAATTTTTT